AGAAGATGCCTGGGTTCACAGATGACAAATGATCCATTATTCGAGTTAATGTATTAAAGGGTGCCTCTTTGTCATGTAATATACTACATATGGTGTCAACATTTTCAGGAGATTGGCACAGAAAAAAATGTTTTCATCCCATTTAAATGAAAAAGGAATGAAAGGAAGCACAATGGGCTAAATGGCCTTGTTCTGTACTGCAACTTTTCTATGGTTCTAAGGGATTTGGTCTATCAACTAAGAACATGAATAGCAGTATCTCAGACTCACTTTATGCCATCATCTTATAATTTTTCATATTTCTATGTGCTGTTGTATGTTCAGTTCAGTATAAAATTATTAAAAACAATGTATTTAAAACTTTATCTCAAAACCCTCAAACCACCATTTCTTTGTGGCTCGCTCAATCTGATTTTACATATTCTTTGGATCTTGTCACAGTTCCAAATTGCTTCATACATGCAAAACATGTCAGAACACTATTATCTAAACAGGTGCTTCAGGTACCATTACATAACGTTGCACAATAACTAAACTATTATTTTTATTATTTTTGCTTAAGGGTACCAAATTCTTCTAAGTAATTCTACTAAATATACAGAAGTGTGACTATACTTTAAATGCAGATTAATTTTCTATATCGGACACTTAAATATTTATACATTTCTAGTCATTAGACATTCATGGCATTTTGTGTCTGTCTTCACAGTGGAAGACACAAATAACATGCCAAAAATTGATAGCAAGGAAGCTATGGCAGGTGAGGACCTAGAAATGATTGCTGTCACTAAAGAGGTAGTGTTGGACAAGTTGATGGGTCTAAATGTAGACAAGTCTCCTGGCCCTGATTGAATGCATCCCAGGGTACTAAAAGAGATGATGGGGAAAATAGCAAATGTGCTCGTGGTCATTTATCAAAATTTGCTGGACTCTGCTACAGTTCTGGCAGTTGGGAAGACAGCAACTGTGATGCCACTGTTTAAAAAAGGAGGTAGACAAAAGGCAGGTAACTTTAGCCCATTAGTGTAACTTCTGTTGTGGGGAAAATGCTTGAATCAGTCACTAAGGAAGAAATAGTGAGACATCTGAAACACATTGTCCCATCGGGCAGATGCAATATAGGTTCGTAAAAGGCAGGTCATGTTTAACTAATTTACTGGAATTCTTTGAGGACAATATGAGTGTAGTGGACAGTGGAGAACTGGTGGGTGTGGTGTATCTGGATTTCCAGAAGGAATTCAACAAGGTGCTGCACAAAAGGCTGCTGCATAACATAAAAGTACACAGCGTTGCGAGTACTGTATTAGTATGGATGGAGGATTGGTTAACTAACAGAAAGCAAAGAGTGGGGATAAATGGGTGTTTTTCTGGTTGTGGATCAGTGGCTAGTGGTGTGCCTCATGTTGGGATCAGTGTTGGGACCGCAATTGTTTACAATTTACACAAATCATTTAGAGTTGGGGACCAAGTGTATCAAAGTTCGCAGATGACACAAAAATGATTGGTAGAGCAAAATGTCCAGAGGATACTGAAAGTCTGCAGAGGGATATAGGTAGGTTAAGTGAGTAGGCAAGGGTCGGGCAGATGGAGTACAATGTCGGTAAATGTGAGATCGTCCATTTTGGTAGGAATAACAGCAATATGGACTATTATTTAAATGAGAAAAGTTGCAGGATGGTGCTGTGCAGAGGGACCATGGGTGTCCTTGTGCATGAATCACAAAATGTTGGTTTGCAGGTGCAGCAGGTGATTAAGAAGGCAAATGGAATATTGTCTTTCATTGCTAGAGGGATGGAGTTCAAAAGTAGAGAGGTTATGCTGCAGCAGTATAGGGTGTTGGTGAGGCCACAACCGGATTACTGTGAAAAGTTTTGGGCTCCTTACTTGAGAAAGGATGTACTGGTACTGCAGAGGTGCAGAGGAGGTTCACTTTGATTACAGAGTTGAGAGGATTGGCTTATGAGGAGAGATCGAGTAGACTGGGACTGTACTCATTGGAATTTAGAAGAATGAGGGGTGATATTATAGAAACATATAAAACTATGAAGGGTATTAGATAAGATAGAAGCATGGAGGTTTTTTCCACTGGCAGGTGAAACTAGAATTAGGGGGAATAGCCTCAAAATAAGGGGGTGTAGCTTTAGGACTAAGTTGAGGAGGAACTTCTTCTCCCAAAGGGTTATGAATCTGTGGAATTCTGTGCCTGGTGAAGCAGTTGAGGTTACCTCATTGAATGTTTTTAAGGCAAAGACAGATTACTGAACAGTAAAAAAATTAAGGGTTACAGTGACTGGGTGGGCAAGTAGAGCTGAGTCTATGAAAAGATCAACCACGATCTTGCTGAATGGCAGAGCAGGCTCGAGGGGTCAGATGGCCTACTCCTGCTCCTATTTCTTATGTTTCTTATAGCAATAAATGTTTCACTAGTTGTGAAATCTGCTATTAACTTGTCGATTACATTGTTTCACTTAAATTCTTATTGAATGATATTCAATATGGCACTACACCTGCCTCAATGCATAGATAGACAGAATGGTCTGACAGGCCCAAATTGACCTAATTCTGGCTGCATGTCTTTGTTAGTGATTTCATAGAAATCATAGAAATGAGGGGACAGTAGAACCCAAATAAACCAGAGCGCCTTTATGATTAGCTTACTGCCACGGACAAAATGTGCATCTGCAGAAAAATCAAATACTCCAAGAATGATACCCTAGCAGGAATGCTTCTTTCAGAAAGGAAGGCCAGAAAAGCAATTGGCATGTCAAAATTTAAATTTAAATTTGAAATGGGTACTATTTAAAATCATGTAGAAAACAATTGTACTGTTAAAAGCTTCTGTTGAATCCCTTGAACAAAGTTTCAAAAAAACAGTTTTGTGTTGAAAGATTAAGGAATACATTTGGTATTCTACAGATCCTACTTTTTCACATGCAAATATTGTACGACAAAATACCTTTTTTGAAAACTAGTAAGCACGAAAATTGTTATTGCTGAATTGTAAAAGTTGCACAACATCCTGCTGCTTTTGTGTGTAAATAAAGAGTCGTAAGCTTTGTGCAGAGAGGTAAAACTAAAATAGACTTGTCTGTTTTTTCACTACTTTCTTGTAGATAAGGAGGGAAAAATGTAGGAAAAAATCCTAATCATAAAGGTTTAACATTAACACGGTTTGGATTTAGACAGTTTCAAAAGCTATTTTGTAAAATTAAGCTTTATTGTTAGCAATCTTTTAAAAAGAGAGAATTGTGATACTCAGACATTATTGCTTAAATTTTCTTCATCCGTAAATTGAAATCAGTATTTATCAGACTATTGTGAAACACTCTTCAGAGCTTAATCTGATATTCTGTCAGAAATTGGGAATTTGCTGTGTGAGTATTTCAGTTCTGTTATTTCATAATGTTATGTTCTTTTGTGGTTATGCTATGGCATATGATACTTCAAAAACAACACTAAATGCAAGTTGTTGAAATGTTGAAGTCAATTTCATGACTCAAGACTCTCAAGATTTCCAGAGAATGTGAATTAATTCTCACTTAAGAGTCTTAAATAAATCTAAATGTTATTACTCTTTCAATTGTTTAAGATTAAAAGAAGTCAAGTTAAAGCAGTCTAAAACTTCAGTCATTAAATATATAAGTACCAGAACATAAGTGTGCAAAGCTACCTTTCTTTCTGAAGAAATACTTTTTATATAGCATGAAGATTTACCAAATAGACATTCATTTAATTCCTGTCGAATTCAAACTCGATGCAAAATTTTTAGAAGGATTTTCACATTGAATTAAATTGACACCTTTTTTATATTTAACATTATTTTAAGCTTATAACTGCATTTCTTTCCTGTTGGGAAATTTTTGATTTTCACTTTTTTTTTCATTTTAAGTATTGTTTAAGTGGCGCTGTGTTCCAAATTAATTTGTTGCTTATTTTACAACAAGTAGTAGGAACTGTGATGACAAGAAAAATATTTCAACAGATTGACAAATATAGATTAGACTTAGAATCATAACTAAGCATTTAGTATAAATACATCTCAATGTTTAAGTAAATGTATTACTGATATATGATAAATAATTCCACTTAGTAGCTAAAAACATACACCACTTGTGAATTATTTGACTATTTACAGTGTTATATTCATGCATCTGCATTCTCCACATAAGGTAGGTTTTATTTAAGAAGCAGCTATCCTGGGGTACTTCTTATTTAATTAAACAAATGCAAGCAATGTTCCAGAAAGATGGAAATAAATACAAGATTTTTTTAAGAATTAGTTTATTTAATGTTAATTTGTGAAGTGTAACAAATGTTAATAACGTGATGTTTTTAAAAATAGAGTCAGTAATTTTCAATGGTATCTAACAATGTCATGATAGAGCCACTTTAGTGCAGCATTTCCACTTGATAAGTGGGTTAATGGTGAACTTGCCTCAATTGCAGCAATATGCTAAAGAACTGAAGCAATTAAAATGCTATCTGCTCACTGAAATGCCTGTTCAAATATTAGAAGTTGCAACGTGCAATTCGATAATAATCAAAAACATTATTTTTCCTGTCTAATCTGGTTAAAGAAGTAATATTTTTCCATTATCTACATGCAGTTTCATGCTTTCAGGAGTGTAAAGGAACACTGCTATCAGATTGCAGATGTTTGGCTGACATTGAAATTATGTAGAACCCTGGCAAAGAGTATTTGCTTGCATATAATGCTAAAGGAAAAGCTTGCTTTCACATTTTGCTCAAAATTTCCAGTTGAAAACCATTATTTGAAAAATACATTTAAAACTATCTGTAGTTTTGTATTTTGTTTGGGTTATTAACCGTTTATGTAGGATCTTCAAAATTTTTGCTTTTGTTGTTTAAATGTACTTTTTCCGCAGTCAACAATAAGAAGAGATCTTTTGAATGTTAAGATGAGAACATAGTTTAACTGCAGTCTTATGACTCTCCCAAGTTTGATAATTGATTTTTTAGTGTATTTATTTATTTTACAGAGAATCCTGTTACTTTCCCTGAAGGCAACAAAGAAAAAGAAATTCTAACACCAATTGAAGATATACAAGTTGAAAGCTCTATTCCACATACTGATTCAGGAATTGGAGAGGAGCAAATAACTGGTGTTATGAATGGCTCTGATTTGGAAACAGCAACTGTGCCAGATACAATGAGTGAACTTTTATCTTCCTTGTCCTCCGAAGTAAAGAAATCCCAAGAAAGCTTAGCTGAGAGCCCAATTGAAGTGCTGAAACCAAGTTCATCTGTAACGAGTGTCAGTCAAGGAAAAGGCATGAATGTCAAGGAAATTCTGAAAAGCCTTGTTGCAGCACCTATGGAGCGTGCAGAATCTGGACCTGAACCTGTATCATACCCTGATCCAACTGTGAAAAGAGAAGCTCAGACTATTCTTCCAATGCAGTTTCATTCCTTTGACAGGTGAAAAGCCTCGATGTTGTTTTAATTTATTCACCAACCAGAGTATTTATGAATGTGAGTGATAAGGTGATATTGGTGAGAGGCGGAGAGGTCTCCAGGGGGTTCAGAGGCAGATTGAACAGCAGTATCACATAACCCAAGCCTGTCGTCTTCACAGCTCAAAGGCATAATGGGAGGTGGCAGCTTGAAATGAGTTGCCACTGCAAAGTGTATTATTTTTGAAATGCTTTCACACAAATCACTGAGCTCCACATACAACTTTGTTTCATGGTTTAATGTCATCACGAGGCACAAATTGGTGTGTCTAATTGTTTGCCACCTGCCAGTGAAATGAACTGCCAGGGAGACAGAAGGATCTGTTTGTCTATCAGGCATTCAAGCGATTGAGAGTGACAACATCAAAAATTTCTCTTCAATGTCCAAACCTTTGATCGGCCTTTAAGAGACCCCACTCTCTTGTGCTTCTGGTCAACTGAATTTTTCAATTAGTTTAAATATATTAGATTCCTGGTGCCTCATCTGTCTTTAGCAAGATGTAATTATATTATGAAGAGTCTAAACAGATTTCTAGTCAAAGAAGATCCAAATTCCCATGATGGCACTTTTAATAATTTAAAAAAAATCTTTAGAGAACATTCTCTATTGTAATTTTTTGCATTCATTAGGTATGCTACATTTGGTTTCAAATGTGGAGTCTGCTCTTATTCATTTTAGACAATTTTCTAGATAGTTTCTGGTTTATCTTTTAAATAAATGCAGTTAGTTGAAAATGTAGAGTTGCACAAAATGCTAATCTAAGTTTGGTTGAATTTCTCAGGCATTGAAATATGGGGAAATAGTTTAAAAGAGTATTTCTGTGATAAATTTCCAGATTCCAAAGCAGATACTGTACTCACTTGAAACAAAATCTCCTGGAAAGTTCTCAGTCTAACTTGGAATGCTGTATCTTTTGAATAAAACAAGTCACAGACATTGAATTTTACACTTGCATTAGGGTGTACATTCACCATTTTAATTTTAGTATGTTTTCGGGAACGATTCTGCCTGTTACGCTGCTGGAATTATATTCTTTGACCATCACATTCCATTCTCTTTCCAGTTTGTGTTAGTACAGCAGGATTTGCAAAGTAATAAATTCCTGAATGATTCAAGCAATGGAAATGTGTAAAGCCAGATACACTTGATATATTCTCATATGTACTTCGAAAGTAAAATCTCTTCTTTTCCAGTTATTAGTTCTCTTCACTACCATACACAATATGATGTTGGGGAGGCGATTGTGTACTGGTATTATCACTAGACTATTAATCCAGAGACCCAGGTAATGTTCTGAGAAACGGGGTTCAAATCCCGCCTTGGCAAATGGTGGAATTGCAATTCAATAAAAATTTTGAATGAAGAGTCTAATGATGACGTAATATTGTTGCCAACTGTCAGAAAAAACCCATCTGGTTCACTAATGCCCTTTAGGGAAGGAAACTGCCGTCATTATCTTGTCTGGACTACATGTGGCTCATATCCCTCCAAACCTTTCCTATTCATGTACTTATCCAAATGTCTTTTGAATGTAGCAATTATATCTGCATCCACCACTCCCTCTGGCAGTTCATTCCACACACGAACCACTCTGTGTACAAAAAAAAAGTTGCCCCACATGTCCTTTTTAAATCTTTCTCCTCACACCTTAAAAATATGCCCCCAAGTTTTGAAATCCCCCCAACCTGAGGGAAAAGACCTTTGCTATTCACCTTATCTATGCTCCTCATAATTTTATAAACCTCTATAAGATCACCCCTCAGCCTTAAGTGAAAAGAGTTCCAGCCCATCCAGCCTATTTTTATAACTTAAACCCTCTATTCCTGGCAACGTTTTGGTAAATCTTTTCTGAACCTTCTCCGATTCCTATAGCAGGGTGACCTGAACTGCACAGTCCACTCCAGAAGAGGCCTCACCAATGTCCTGTACAACCATAGCATGACATCCCAACTCCTACACTCAAAGGCCTGAGCAATGAAAGCAAGCACACTAAACTGCCTTGTCTACCAGCGACATAAATTTCAAAGAATTATGTACCTGAACCCCTGCGTTTCTCTGATCTACAACCCTACCATTAACTGCCCTTTGGGAAATTAGTGATGGCCAATAAGTACTGGCCTAGCCAGTGATGCCTGGATCCTGTGAATGAATTAAAAAAAACAGTGATCCCAAGGTTTGATTTTTTTCCCCAACATCTGAATGTAGTGTATTCATTTGCTGACGATACAAAACTAGGTGGGAAAGGCAGCTGTACGAGGAGAACACAAAGAATAATCAAAGAAGTTTAATAGATTAAGTGAGTGGGCAAGCAGCTGAAAGATGGGATGCAATAGAGAGAAATGTGAGGTTGTTCACATTAATAGGAAGAAGAGAAAAGCTGAATGTTTTTAAATGATATGAAACTATTAGATGTTGGTGTTCAGAGGGATTTGGATGTCCTTGTATAGGAAATATAAAGTTAATGTGCAAATAGAGTAAAAGATTAAGAGGACCAAATCATTTGCTAACCTTTATTACATGTGCATAAATGAGCCATAATGCAGTTGTACATGGCCTTTAATGAGATCACATCTAGAGTATTGTATGCAGATTTACTCTCCGTATGTAAAGGATGAGGGGTAATGAAAATTTGTTCGATTGTTGTCTGGATGAGAGGTTGGTCCAATACAGAGTAATTGATTAGTATGGATCTGTATTCCCTAGCAGTTTGAAGAATCTGCAGTGATTCTTTGAAGTGTATGTGCTTTAGGAGGCTGCACAGTTTCGAACTGGGGCATAGCCTCAGGGTAAGGACTATTTGAGGCTCGGATAAGGTAGAATTTCTTCCCTGAAGAACTTTGAACCTTGGAATTATCTACGGTCTAAACTGGATGATCAGTCGTTTACCACATTCAAAATTAACAGTCTTGAACTCAAAGGTAGTTGAAGGAAATGCAATCAGGTGCAGAAGTGAATTGAAAGTAAAGTATCAGCCTTAGTTATGTTACAGGGAGGAGCAAGCGCAAGGGCCTAAACGTCTCGTATGTTCTTAATATCATTTCAAACTAAAAGTTATGTGTATGGGGAAAAAGATTTTTACTTCTCTTTCCAAAGTGATTTTTGTTTAATTACTCATTCATGAGTTATGGATGTGCCAACGTTTATTCATCTTCATATTTCCCCTTGAGCAGAAGATGGTGATGAGCTGCCCTTGGAAGTATCCTTGGTTTTTTTGCACATTATTAAGACTACTGACTGTTTAGTGGAAGACCTCAACCTCACCACTGTGTGTTACACAGTGTAGTTATTGCGCACAAAAACAAAGTTGCCGGAAGAGCTCAGCAGGTCTGGCAGCATCTGTGGAGGAGAAAACAGAGTTAACGTTTCGGGTCCGGTGACCCTTCCTCAGAACTGGTTATTGCGCATCCTAGTTCAATATTCCTGATTAAATATAATAAGGCACATCAAGTGAAACATATAAACTAGGAATTGGAGTGGCCATTCAGGCCTTCGAGTATGCTTTACCATTCAGTTTGATCATGGCTGTCAATGCCACCTTCTTACTTTCTCTCTATATCCCTTGATGTCTTCAATACCTAAAAAATGATCAATCTCTTTCTTGAATATGCTCAGCGGCTCAGACTTCTGTAGAAGTGAATTCCACAGATTGACCAGTCTTGAAATGAAAAAGAAATACTTTTTATCTAAATGTCCTATCCCCATATCTTGAGAATGTGATCCCTGGTTTTAGATTCTCCAACCAGGGGAAACATCTTCCCTGCATCTAGTCTGTCTAGCTCTTTTAGAATTTTGAGTTTTAATCAGATCTCCTCTCATTCTTCAAAACTCTGTTGAATAAAGGCCTAGTTGATCTAATCTCTCCTTATACAATAACCCTGCCATCTTCAGTATCAGCCTAGTGAACCTGCACTACCTCTAGCAAATATATCTGTGCATAGGTAGAGAGACCAAAACTGCATGCAGTATACCAGGTGCATTCTTGCCAAGGCCCTTTATAACTGCAGTAAGACATTCCTTCTTCTGAACTCTATCCCTTGTGCAATGAAAACAATATACCATTTGCCTTCATAATTCCTTGCTGCACCACCTGTTCACTTTCATTGACTGGTATACAAGGACATCTAGATCCCTTTGTACAGCCACATTTCCCAATATATCATCATTTAAAAAGTACTCTGCCTTTCTGGTTTTTCACATTGAAGTGTATAACTTCACATTTCTCCATGTTACAGTGCAACTGCCACATGTTTGCCCGTACACAATTCGTCAAAATCATCCTGAAGCCTCTTTGAATCCTCCTCGCAACTCACAATCCCATCTTATTTGTGTCACACACACACACACACCCCCCCATATGCGAAGAATAGCTGGGGCACTGATAATTTGAAAAAGACTCATTTATTCCCAGAGATAACACAGTGTGGAGCTGGAGGAACACAGCAGGCAGGCAGCATCAGAGGAGCAGCAAAGTTGACGTTTCAGGTCGGGACCCTTCTTTTATTCCCAGTCTCTGTTTCTGGTCTGTGAGCCAGCTTTCAATCCATGCCAGTACATTGCCTCCAATCCCTTGTGCTTTAATTTTGCCTACTTAGCCTCTGATCAAATGACTTTTTGAAATCCAGATCCACTCATTCCCCTTTATCTGTTGTACTAGTTACATCCTCAAAAAACTCTTGTAGATTAGATTTCCTTTCACAAACCCGTGCTGACTTTGTGTACTTCCATTAATCCTTTCCAAGTGTACTGTAATCATGTCTTTTATAGCAAACTCTAGCATTTTCCCCTCTATGGGCTAACCTGTCTGTAGTTCTCTGTTTTTCTCTCCCTCCTATTTGACATAATGGAGTTACATTTGCTATCGTACAATCTGTGGGAACTGCTTCAGAGTCAATGAATTTTGGAAGATGACCACCAAAGCATCCAACATTTTCAGTTCCCCTTTCTTTGGTATTCTGGGGTGCAGA